TCTATCTTTCATTTTGCTCTTTATTTATATTTTGGATTTCTCATGTGAGAGAAACCATATGGTATTTAAATTTATATGTCTGATTTATTTCATAGATACAGAGATGGAGGGTGGAAGGAAGGGGGAAGAGAAGGGGAATAAAAAGAATTAAGATATATTAAGTACATTTACCTACTCCCTAAGATGAATGTAAATATTATTTACTACAAACGTGTACTAATAAACAAAAATAAATAAAAATGATTTAAAATAAACGAATGTGATCATTTGTTTAGGGTTTCCAGTTATAGTAAGTCAGTTTGTTTTGGTCTCACCAATTGGAAGTAATAAGAAGCTGGTGCCTGGATTCCAGGTCCCCATGTTAAATATCATCTTGGATATGCTTCCTACTGTTAGACAAAGAGGCACAGGGATGAGACTAAGTAAGAAGCCAAAAACAGTGGAGGTTATGTCTCAACTGCATCACTAATTACTTATTTAATCTTGGGCAAGGTACTTTATCTTAGCTTTTTCATCTGAGAAATGGGGATAATAATGACTGCCCTATCTACTTCCCACGATTGCTTTGAGGATCAAGTGAGATAATATACTTAAAAGTCTTTTTGGAAGGTCTAAAGACTGCTAAAATGCAAGGTGTTATTAAAAGAAATCTTCCCTAATAATTTCTGCTTCCACAAATATCACACACCCTTGCATTCTTGGGTTATGTGGTGACATAAGTGGCACAGCTCAGCTTGTATGTGATACTTACTCTAGAATCTTGCTTCGGTGTCTATAGTGTCTAATTGACTCAGCCTGAGAATCTACAAACACCTAGCAATTCTTCTAATCTTGCATCTCTCCTGAATTTATACAGACATATATGCTCCTTCTCATTCACTATGTACTTAAGAATATGTTATTGAGCATTTCTGTACAACACCATGTTAGAAACTGTGGCAAAGAAAGCATCCACAATCTCTGCACTATTGGGTCTGATAAAATCGATATCATAAAAAATAAGTGCTCAGTCTTACATTTGTTTTGGGAGGCAATTTTATGTGTAAGTTTTAATTATTAAAGCCATATTTGTATATATTTTGACTAGAATTATAACTATGTGTAACCCTTCTTCAAATTTTCCTCCTGTTAATGGTCTGTGGATTTTAACTGGGCCTGGAGCTTGAGTTGTTTTTTTTGTTTTTTTTTTTTTTTTTAAACAGATGAGTTTGCAGGATCTCTTTTTTCTTTATATTAGTGAGACTATGAACTCCACACACCAGCAACAGTTGTGACAAGTTACAGGAGCCCCTGGATGTTTTCCTGCCCATCTCTCCTATGAACCAGGATTTTCTGTGCCTATCTCTGGAGGAAGATCATTCCCCAATTCAGGTGAGTAAAGTGCTGAGTATGTTTGGGGTCAGCCTCCCCAGGCAGATCCTAGCATTTCATATTATCAGCTGCTACTCAAGTTTTAGGATATCACTGGTAGGAATCAGGGTAGAATATAAGCTTAGCCTTGGGAAGAGGACCATTGTAAGAGTGAAGTCCATTCTGCTAATTGATTGTCCATCCAGCTGTCCTTAAGGCAGACAACAGCCACTCCGACAGTGTTCCTCCTCCCAGCTATATTGCTATCTTGCCTTCTTCTCTTCTCTGTCAACCCTCCTTTCTTCTCTTTTACATCTTAAATCTGGAAGCAGCAGCATCATGCTCCAAGGCATTGAGGTCATTGGTGACTCTTAGATCTACCTCTCCAAGCACTTACTACTCCAGGGAGCCAAGCCTATCTTCTCGGCCTTCCCACAGCGGCTACCTGAGTTCTTAGCTTCCAAGTTCAGGCCGCAGTTTCTCATCTCTATTGTCTAGCTGTTTCTCTACATACTGCCCATGCCTAGAGAAGCGTTAAACCTCCGAGTGAGGAAGTCATTTCCACATCACCTGATTAAAATAGTTATTTGGTCTTCCACTTCCTAGTCCAATTGTTGGATTCCTCCTGGAAGCCTTCCCTGACTGTCCTTGGGCTGAGGCAAAACTCCTGGTCCTCAGATGTGAATTTATATCACTCTGCTTGCCATACGGAGTCTTCATTCTCTTTTCTTGTCTTTTTTGTTTATTTGTTTGTTCTTTGAGACAGGTTCTCTCTATGAGCCCCTGACTGGCTTCTCACATGCAGCAATCTTCCTGCTTCAGCCTCCCAACTGCTGGGATTACAGGTGTGCACTACTGCGCAGGGCCTTACCTGTATCTATCCTTGAACTCCCTACACAGGATGTGGCCCAAGATAAATATTCATTAAAATGCTAGTTGATAGGTTGGGCTTTTGCTACCTCTTAATCTTTGCCATTTGCAATTTCTTTGAAAACACCTCCACAGTCATAGCTTTCTCCTTGTGTCCACAACATTGCTGTTTATTCCTTTTCTGTACCAGAATGCATACAGTACATTTAATATTATAACAAATTCAACAGAAGGTATATGCAAACACAATAGTTTGATTTCTTTAAAACAGTAAACTTGAGGAACCACATGTCTATTTTCATCATGTTATAACTACAGTTGTTTTTGAAGCCACTCTTCAGGGGTAAGTGTCTTATCTTTTTCTGAATATATTTCAATGGTTTCAAAACTGATGGTGCAATTGAATTTTAAAATTTGTAGACAGCCAATTTACTATAACATCTTTAATGAGTAAAAAGGATGATAAGACTGGTAACATTCTGGGTCAACAACTAAAAATTAATGCTATTAAGCTTTCTTTAAACATATCTGCACAAGGGACATTGCAAAATTTTTTTGACTATAGTTCTTTCTTTTGGGGGGTGTTCTTGGGGGTTAAACTCAGGACCTTTGCATTGCATCATCTCTCTACCCCCTGCCTTTTGTTTATTTTGAGGCAGGGTCTTGTTAAGTTGCCAAACTGCCCAGGCTGAGCTCAAACTTATGATTCTCCTGCCTCAGCCTCCTAGAGTCCTGGAGTTACAAGTGTGCACCATCATGCGTATCTTGATTATTTTATTTTTGAATAAAGTTCCTAGCAACCAGAGGTGGCTACTTTCAGTAATAGTGTTGTTTATTTGTTCTAAAGTACTAATTAAAATTTTTGTTTGGGAACTTTATAGGCCTATTCTCATACTGACTTACACTTGCTTAGTATTGTTTTATGTTTTAGTCCAACATTTATTATATGCTAGACACTGGGAGTGAATAAGGCCATGATATTTGCCCATGGAGACTCCCTAATCTAGTCAAGAAGATAGGAACAAACAGTCCTGCGTGAAGAATAGATACTGGTGTACACAAAGCAGGAGCACAGTGGCGGGATTGTCTCTTAGAGGTAGGAATGTGTTACAGTGTCAGCGAAGCCTTCTTAGGGCTGAAGGATGAATGATGATTAGAAGTTTATCAAGAGGAGGAGGTAAGGGAACTACAGGAGTCATTTCAAGCCAAGGGAACAGAAGGTACAGTGCATGAAATAGCAAGATATGTTTGGGGAGTCTCAAGTTGTTCAATATCATTTCTGTGTAAGGTTGACGATGAGGGCAGTGAGGACAGAAGATGGGGTCCTATAAAGGGGAATCCTTGTCTACCATTTTTAGAGGTTTGGTCTTTGTTCTATAGGAGTCAGAAAGAGGCTCTGCAGGTAGGATTTCCTATCCCAACAGGATTGAAAGTTCCCACATCCAATCAGTCATATATAAATTTGTCCCTGTCCCCCCAGCCGATTTTCTCAGAGCCATCAATTCCTTTCCATTCTGTCATCTACCTCATTTGTTCAGGCTGTCATCATCCCATGCCTGAACTGTCTCACAAACTCCTGATTGCCCTTGGGCTCTGGTTCACCTCTTGCTCCTGACAATCAATTTTGCACAGAATTATCAGAGCAACTTTCCTTCCATTAAGTCTCACTCTTGCTCAAAAACCTTGAAACCTCTATGGCCTGCGGGCAACATCCCTACTCTTTTTAGCTTGTTGTCCTGATCCCAGGCCCCTTTCTCTTCTTTACTGCCCTAATTGCTAACAGTGCCAGAAGTCATCAATGTATTCCCTTGTGTGTATCTTTGCTTTTATAATGGATCTCCTTTGGAATGACACACCCACACAACTTGTAGTTATTGTTAATTTTAGCTCTTCCTACAAACCTACTTGTAACCAGACCAGATAATACCCCTGTTCTCCTGCCCTAGAAGTAATCACTATTCGGGTGGTGTCCTTTTACATGTACATGTGCGTCTACAAATAATATTTTGTTTTGAAAAAGCTCAGACATACACAAATGGCATACATTATCTCTCTGCAATTAATTTTTTCACTATTACTTGGTTTTCAAGATTTATCCTGATTTCATTTTATAAGTATGTATTATCCATTTAGTCCCCTTAGAGTGGGCATTTAGGTTATTCCCACTTTCCAGCTATTACAATGTTACGACGAATATCCTTAGCAGGTCTTCACGTTTTACTGACCTTTCAAGATCCTGCTCTCATCACAGCTGCTCCATGAAACCATGGCCTGAATCCCCTAGCCTGGAGCAGAGGATTAGTCCTCGAAGTCCTTGTACATCGTGTTATTTACTACTCCTCTGTCCCAAGCACAGTGGTACACAAAGTAAGGCACTTATGATTTGCTAAATGAACTACAGGATGAATGAATGAATGAAGAATGAATGAAGAGTGAATGAATGAAGCCTGCACCCCCAGTTGACTGCTCTGCTCCTTTTACGTGAACTTTGGCGCCTTAGCTCCTATTTCCTTCTTTGACAGTACTGGTCTTTCTCTGCCTATTCTTCTACGTAGCAGGGGAAGGTGTCAGAGTGTGGGGGCACGAGGGCGACCTCTCCCCGCAAGTTCAGGATCCTGGTAGAGCCTAGTGTCTGAAATTCAGAGGCTTGCACGCATCACCTCACCAGGGCACGGCCCAGATCGGGCTTCTGCGCGGACCCGGGGCAGGGGCGTCGGAGTGGAGCCCGGCGCGGGGTGGAGAGGACTAGGGCGCTCGGGTGAGCCCTCGTAGTAGATCCCTCCGCGCGGAGCTCGGGCCGGCGCTTCTTCCTGCGGGAAACCCCTGGGTGCCCGGGCTGCAGGGCCGAGGCCGCGGCGACAGGGGGCGGGGCCTTGCGGTGGGAGGAGGCGGCCCAGGCGGAAGGACACACGAGGCTGCTTCGCTGCACACCCGAGAAAGTTTCAGCCAAACTTCGGGCGGCGGCCGGCGAGCGGCGGAGTCGCGGCGCAGGCAGTCGAGGCGCAGACGCCTGAGCTTCGGAACGCAGCGCCGGGCCGGAGACGCAGCGGCAGCAGGGGAGGAGGGAGCGCGGCTTCTCGGTCGGGACCCCTCCCCATGTGGATCTGCCCCGGCGGCGGCGGCGGCGGGGGCGGAGGAGGAGGCGACCGGGAAGATGCCCGCCCTGCGCCCCGCTCCGCTGTGGGCGCTCCTGGCGCTGTGGCTGTGGCGCGCGGACCCCGCGCGCGGTGAGTGTCGACGAGGGGCGCAATCCCGCGCCCGCCGCCCCTTCCCGGACGGCTACCTGAGGCGACCGCTCCCGACGACCTCCTCTGCCCGGGAGGACCGGCTCGGCCGCTTGCTTCCCGAAAGTTGGGGCAGCGTGGGCCGCGGCTCTGGAGGCCGCCCCCGCGGTCCCCTGCGCCAGGGCCGTGCACGCCTCCTCGGCTGGGGCGAGGCTGCGCCGCGAGTCTCAGGCTCGACCCCTTCCGAGTTGGCGTCGGGGACCGGGGCATTTTGCGCCTTTGGGTGCGCGTTCCCTGGGGTTGGGAAGGGCCGCGGCCGCGCCGCGCTGAAGGAATGCCCGGGTGGCGCCGAGGGCGGCGGGGCAGGCCGAGCCGGGGAGCGCGCAGCCTGGTGTGCGGCGGGGCTTGGTGGGGGTGCGACGGGGTCTGCGGCGCGCCGGGGCGTTGACACTCCAGCCCGACGGCGGTCCGGAGGAGTTGGGTGTGTGGACGAGGCGGGCGCCTTTCTCCACCTTTGTTGAAAGGTGGAGACCGGAGCAGTGGGGAAACTGGTGTGGCTGCATGCTGAGCCACAGGGTTTAAAAATCTCAACTGGTGTTGTTCTTTCCGAGGCGCGGAGCTCTGCTGCTCTTTCAGTCTGTGTCCAGACCCAGGAATGTGGTGTGACGATCGCCAACTCCTCCAACCTGGCAGCAGCGTCTGCTGCTTTTTTGGCGTGGTTGCGGGTAGGGCAGGGGCGGGTGAGGAAAAGTGGATACGTTGATTCAAAGTGCTTACTTACAAAGCTTCTTTACGGTTGGATATTCCCAACAGTCTTGCTAACGCGGTTGGAGCAAGGAAAGGAAATCCAATCATATCTTACCCATCCCACTCACACTTAGAGAGTCTAAATTTCTTCAGACTGTTGCGTGCGGAGAGGTTGGGGCTAAGGAGCCCTGCTCTGTAATCCTGGATACAAACCTGCTATATTAACTTGCCAATAAAATGTTAATGAAATTACCCAGCTAATAGGGTTAATTAAAAGAATGTATATTAAACCCATGATACTGAAAAGGTGTTCAGAAGGTCCTTTCAGGGCAGAAGCAGTGTTTTGTTCTTCCTGAACTCCTTTCAGTGGGATGGTGTCTTGTGTATGTTTGCTGAACTGAAAAGGGCCTCTTCTCTTCCTGAGTCTAACACCAAGTCAAGTTTTACATCTCCCCAAAAACTAGCACATGAACTATGTCTCTTTTTAAAGAAGAGATGAACTGCGGAAAAATATGGTCTTTGTTCATTGTTAACAGGCATCTGACATGCCAATCACAGATGTTTAAACAGAACAAGGTTATTTGTCACCTGAAAACAGTACTGGGTTGTTCAGCTCCAACAGGATACTTCTTGGCAAATTTTGTACACCCGAACGTCCCTACAAATTTCAGAAGTGAACCAGGAGGCTGTGTGATGGTGAAGGAAAATTTGTTGTTTCTTAAATGTTTAATAAAATAGCATTTTTGCTTTTTTCTTTGAGTGAAAGCTTTAGTAGAAGTGTAGATTTAGGGTAAAGAGGCAAATAATTAGTGAAATAATCTGAGGGCTAGAGTCACTCGTCTACCATTAACTTGCTTTTTTTCCCCTTAAAGTTAATAACTTAGTCTTCATGATCTGCATTCTCCTTACCTATGAAACAGAACCAAAGGTATAAGCTACTTTAGAGTTGTAGGAAGTAGTAAATATAAGTAATAAATATGAAGTAACAAGATTGATGTCAAAAATAGGATCAGTATGGCACAGAACTTCTTTCGTTCTAGGACCCCTGTGCCTAGCAGAGTGATGGCGAACTTTTTCGAGCTTTCACTGGTACAAACAGTCCACTGTGGCAGGGGTGCTGTACGTTTGCCACCACTGCACCCTCCTCTGTGCAGTACTTCTGCTCTAGCGAGGTACTACTGTTACTGTTTGCTTAACTTTTCAGGGGGTCAAGTTGAATGTTAGTCTGGCTCAAAGGATAGGACCTAGATACTTAGATTTTTAGACGGATGTTCATAGGTGCTAAATTACTATAATAGAAGAGATTAAAAAGCATGTTTCTTGGTACAAATCTTAAATAGTCTCAGTCTAGCATTGAAGGCTTCTTGATTTTCCTAATGTAATACAATCATGCTTTCCCAGGTAATAGTTACAATATACGTTCCAAACTTTTGAATGTTCTTGTGTTTGGCTTGTGGGCGATTGTTAAATCGTACTGAATTCCTCAGGCAAGGAGCTTTCAACCTACCCATTTGCCTAAACAGTCATCCAGGACCACCCTTTGGCTCCTGTTTTCTTTTGCTTTGCAATGATTTTATTGCCCACTAGATAATTTCCCAGCTTAATTTTTTTTTTTTTTTTTTTTTTTTTTCCTCTGTTGTTTGTTTCTTTGAGACAGGGTCTTGCTGTGTAGCCCAGCTGGCCTCAAACTCACAGTGATCCTCCTACCTCAGGCTCCTGAGTACTGGGATTATAGGTGTGTGCACTGCCACACCCAGCCCTACTATTTTTTTTTTTTAACCACATAGGGCTGTTTTTTTCTTTTAGATAAAGAAAAAATTTACACTAAAACTATTTTCCCTTTGTCTTTCTTTGTATATTATTATTTACCCTCTTTTTGGGGTGGTGGAATGAATATTGGTAGTCTTTTCTCCTGTGTTTTGTTTTTTTTTTAGAAAAATCTGGTCATGTCTTGTCAACATCTCAGCCCTATTCCTAGTTTAGTACTTCTTCTGTAGGTTTCTTACAGTGCAGAAAAGTAACTTCTCGGTCACCTGAGTTGTGGATGTGAGCTTCAGGACCTTTAAAGAATGTCTAAGCTCAGTGGGATATGCTTGGATGGTTCAGAGCAGCCTTACAATACATTTTAAAAATATCAAACCCACAGAAATTCTATTTTGCCCACAAAATTTGCATTGATCTGGTTCCCACTCTCTGATGCCATTCCTGGTGATCCTCCACCCTGCCCTTTCCATTGTGGTAGAACAAAGCTGTATGTCCTGGCTGCGTGAAAATCAGCTGGAGTGATTCCTGGACTCAGCACCGAGGGAATGGGATATAGTAGGTCTGCGAATTTGTATTTTTATTAATGGTTTATATGTCATTCTGAAACAGTAACCTGTGTATGTAAGCTGATGTGCTTAGGAGGTGGGGTCTGGTTAGAAGAGGTGGTCACTATAGGTGTGGCCTGTCTCCTCACCAGTTCCTCCCTTCCCTCTTTACTCTCCTCCACCATGCCCCTGAGGCGCATCATCTTTTCCATTACCTGGCTGGAACTCACTTACTGATTACATTTTATCTACTTTCAGGAAGCATGTAGGAGCTTTCCTTCTAGATTTTAATAATTTGCATAATGAACCCAACCTTAGTCAGCCATTCCACTGTTTAACTCTTCTAACTCTTGAGGAATTCAGAAATTGCTAAAAAGCTATAGTATATAATGTCATTCTTTCTTGTTTATCTGGGTCCAGTGTGTCTCCATTGTCATTTTAGAAGGGCTTCTTATATTTGAATGCTATTATAAATTCTCCTGTCCCCTTACTTTTTTCCTCAAGTATCACTAACATATATCAATTTTTGATTCTTTGTTCAGAGTGAAAAAAACTTCAGAGCATTATTTGAATGAGAGAGCATAATAAATGATTCAATATCCTTAAGTATCCGTATGTTGTGTTTATGGTTGATATTTAAATGCTTCATTTCTTGATATCTCTCTCTAGATGTCTCAACTTGATGCTTTCATTTTCCTTCCATCCTTCCCTGATTCTCTTCCTGCCTTCCTCCCTTTCTCTGCAAATGACTTGAAGCCAAAGGTTTTCATTTCTTTTATTTTCATCTTTTTTTTTTTTTTTTTACTCAATCTGCCAGATGTGTAGTATTTTGGAAAGATCACAAAACTAGGAGTCAGACGACTAGAATTCTCTTCTAGGTCTGTTATTAATTGGTTAGGTGACGTGGAGGAAGGATACTGTTTTAGCCTTTGTGTTAGTTACTTTCCTAGTTGCAGGGACACAATGCCCAACACCACAACTTAAAGGAAAAAAGGTTTATCTTAGGTCACAGTTTGTAGAGGCTTCAGTTCATAGTGGGCTGGTTCAGAGGCAGACTGGTGCGCCTTAGTGGCACGGTGGAGGAGAGCGAAGAGGGAAGGGAGGAACTAGGGAGGAGACAGACCATTCCAGGCCACACCCATAGTGACCACCTCTTCTGACCAGACCCCACCTCCTAAGCACATCAGCTTACATACACAAAACACCTAAAACACCCTTAAATGCTCATATAATGAACGCTTGAGGAAAAAAGTTGTGTCTTGTGTTTATTCTAATGCTCACACCCTTACCCCTCTATCTGGCATGGTTCCTTGGCATCTGATAGGCACATAATAAATATTTGTTTAGTTAAACAATTATTTTTAGTCATTTTTCTTTTACTGGACTACTATGGTACTCCTAAGCAGTTTTTAAATAGTATTTGCAGGAATCATTGCTTGTATTGAAACCTTACTCTGGGGGGAAAAAACCAAAATTTTCCCTTCCTCAGATGTTTTATTTAAATTTGCCATTCTGAATTTCTTTGTGCGTATGTGGTTGCATTCATTAATTCTTTTTCTTTTTCCTGATCACTTCTGCTATTTATAAAGGTCATTTTGACTTTGGAATCTAACTTCAAAGGCCCTGGCATTCACCCCCGCACCCCCCCACTCTCACTGTACTGCTTCCTGTTTTAACAGTATAGGCCAGCAGTTTCTCTTCTTTTGTTCAATTGTCATACCTGACTGTACTTTTATCATTTTTAAGACTAGACATTTTTGGAATGGTATTTTTTACCTTAGCATTAACAAAGTTAGTTTGTTTTAATGATCTTTTTGAGATTTTTGATCATAAGCAGGTTATTGATATGTACACTTACTAAATTGTATTTTTTTCTCACTAAATGAGTTCCCTGACCACCACTAATAAAAAATACCTGCAGAGGTGAGACATGATAAATATTTGAGA